GAAATTTTATATATGAGACTTATTTATTAACAGAAATTAGAATTATTAGTTTGAAATTTTAATTGATACAAACCAAAACATTTAACGGTCCCAAAATGTTCTTAGAATTATTCATAAAATTAGCTGGCCGTTACAATGCAAGAAAATGACGTAGGCTTAGTGGTGGGGAAAAAGACAAAAATACCCCCCAGAAAAAACAAAACTATTTTTCTTCATTCTTCTAGGTAGGGAAAAGGAAAACCAAATTTATTTATTATTTGTATTTAAAATATTCATTTTTGTCTCCAACCAAATTTATTTCTTATTTATATTTTAATACTTAAAACTTTAAATTAAAAACCCTTTTAATTATAGTTGTTATTTTGCTACCTAATAGCTACTTATTTAAAAATCGTCTTACTTAACCTAACTTAGCTGCCTCGTATATAAAATTTATCACATATTTCTCTACTACTTTCAGAATAAGAATACGTTATAATTTTGGATATTTTCAAAGTTAAAAATCAAAACGGATAATATTACGGATTTATGGACAAAATAAAATATTTTTTATTATAATTACTATAAATAAGGTTTGTTTTCAACCATATTTATATTTTAAAGTAAATTAATATATATTAAAAAATAAAAATGCATCTTATTGATATATGTAATAACTATTAATTTTTTGTATGCAATAACTCAAGCTCACAACTAACAGATATTGTCTGCTTTAGCTCGTTACATATAACCGTCAGCCTCACAGTTTTAAAACGCATATAATATGGAGAGGTGTCCACACATTTATTATAAGGTTTGGTCACTCCAACATAGGTTTTATATTTTAAATTGAAATAAAATTAAAAGTAATGCAAGGGAACCACGCTAATTTGCTTTAGTTGTTGGGGACAATAATATAATATAATTCAATTTTGTTTTTTATTTAAATTATTCGCAAAATTCGAAATTAGGTCGGCGGGTCGGAGCTTTCTTTTGTGTTTGGTAGCGGTCGGTCGCCCCGCTTTCACAAGGGCCCACACTAGCCAATGGGCCCAATTTTGCCACGTCAGCCTATATAAAAAAGCTTTTTTTATTATTTTTTAATATAAATTTAATATTTTAATATTCTTCAATGTTGAGGCAAATGAAATATTTATAATGAAAAGTGTGAATAAATATTAAAATATTATAAAAATACAAATTTAATAATAAGAAATAGAATTGGAATAGAACGTTCAATCTTAATATTCACAATCGACTCATTTATACGAAATATAAACTAACTAAATCTTGATAATAAAATATAATATTATATTATTCAAATTTAACTGATTACATATTTCATATCTAATTCAAACTAGAAATAAGTTGCACTAAATTTTGACAAAATGTAGGTGTTTTTTATATTTATTTTTATCACTCACTAATTTTTTTCATTAAAATACATTTTTAGTTCTTAAATTTTTTAAAAATTTAGACATAAAATTTAAAATTTATATCAAATAAATTAATTTTAGATAGCATCAAAAAAAATTTGCTGAAAAATATTTTGACACAGATAAATTAAAAAATTTAATGACGTGTGTATATTATATATATATACATATATATATATAAAGGAAAAAGACAAAAGATAATGATATATGGTTGGTGGAAGGAAAAGAATTGGATAATAATAATAAGTTTTTTTTTTTTTTTTTAAATTAATTAGTTCAAATTCAAAAAAGATAATTGAATTTGTCGGTTGTTCTTCTATTTTAAAGGAGTGATAATAGTGATGTCTTGTATGTTGGGACATTATATTTATACAATTTTGAAACTTACATTTTAATATAATTTTAATATTTCATTTAACAAAAGTCTCGTAATAAAAATTACGGTTCAATCGGATGAAAAACCAACTAAAAAGATATCCATTTTATTTGTGGGAATTTCCCGCTTAAACGTAGAATGTGGAAAGGAATGTGTAACGTTTATTTTTTGTTAGATAAATGGAGTTGGAGATGAGATTATATTCCCCGTTCTATCCCGCTTAATATAAATAGAGGACAAAGAATGAAATAGGTGGCGGAGATGGGGACGGGGACAAGGAAGACTTCCACCGAAAACACTTCGGATTTCACTTGTTTAAACTTAACAGGAGTTTTATCTCCGAGCGTTTCAACCACTCAACCATCGTACTAAGAGGTTCAAACTTATTCTCATCCTTATTGTATTTGACAACCAAAATTAGGGTTCGGTCAGACTCATGTTTAGAACGTGATTACTTTGTGAGGAATTCCACCCCTCTCGATTATAACAATTTATAAAAATCAAAATTGAAAATTTCTTATTTTTATTTTTTTGAATTGAATCAAAATTAATGAAAAGGGAATTTCTTATTTAAACAATAATGGAATGGTGGGTATAAATGGACCATTCCTTTACACAAATACATTTTTGGATTTTTCTCCTTATTTTTAAATACCCATTTCTCATTTTATATAATATATATAATTTTTTTTTTTTTTTGGAACCCATTTTAATTTAAAGACAAAATAAGATTCTATAATTTTTTTTTTTTAAAAAAAAACCCACCCGTCCTTTTCAAATAAATATTGAATTGGTTCGATAATTCATTTTTAATAAATAAATTGAATTGATACAGAGTCTCTCAATAGAATCTTATTTATTCCTCGTAACATTTTTAATAATTAAATTGATACAGAGTCTCTCAATATTGAATTTAATTATATTTAATAATTATAATGATGTTTTTTTTTTTTTTTTTTTTGAGTAAGAAAAAGTTTAATGGCGTTTTGGTAACAATATTCTTAAAATATGAGAACGATTCCCATCGTAACTTGGTTAAGGGAATCCACTAAAGTTATGGGTCTTGAAACAATGTTAGAATTCTAGCTGTTCGAGAGTGGCATAGGACAAAAACATATTTGAATTTTAATGATATAAATTGATCTTTTTCAAGCCTTTTCTCATCAATAGATTCTGAACGTATCATAACTTCCAAGCCGTGACAGATTTGAACTTTGACCATGTTACACGAGACTACTTCAATGTTGAGTTAACTTCATCGTTTATATCTTCCTAATCTCATCGTTGAAATAAAAATGTTACGAAATTTATATCGACTACATGGCCTCTCTTCCTAATCTCATTAGTTACCCTGATGAAATAAGAGCGGTCTAGTGCATTGGCATTGTAGATTCTTATCCAAAACTTGTAATATATCTTAACTCGTTAACTTTTTAGATTAAAATAATACCATTAACTTGATATCATATACATTATCTGTAACAGCCTAAACACATGTGGGATGTCACAAATATCATTCATATATATCGTCTTAATAGTTTTTGTATAAATATTGGCTACGTGAACGATATTGTAAATAACATCACAACAATATCTGTAGAGTTAAAATAAACCCCGAAAAATGATCTTAATCTTATATAAATGATGTTACCGTGTCAATTTTCGATTAAAAAAAAAAGCTGGAAAAATTACTTTTGGAATAAATTTAAAGTTTAAAAGTTCAAATTATACATTACAAAGTCTCGGGACAAAATTGAAACGTACCCTAAAGAAAACATTAACCATGGGTAAAGTAGATTTTTTACTTAGGGAAGAAGTAAAAATGGTAAAGGGGAAAAAAATTACTGTAGGGCATTAGGAAACTTTACCCTTGGTTACAAAAGGTTTGAAATGATTCCATTTGCTCATTCATTTATTGTTCAATACTCAAATTTGATTTATTTTTTTTTAATATTAAAAAAAATTATTTTTTTAATTTTAATTTTTAATTGTTTGTTATATAAAAAAGAGAATGAAAGCAAACAGCTGGAAATTTAATGGCAAATCTCATCTAGGGAAAGCCCATTTAGTTCACAAGATAGCTTAGGGTTTAAAAAAGAACCCCTCTTTTCAAACCCAATCCTTACCTTTTCTTTGTGCAATATATAATATAATAACGTGAGGACTCGGACATCTGACCTAAAATATGTAACGGCCCAAATCTACCGCTAGCATATATTGTTTGCTTTGCCCTATTACGTATCGTCGCAACCTCATGATTTTAAAATGCGTCTATTAAGGAGAGATTTCTACACACTTGTAAGGAATTATTTGTTACAAATGGTATCAAAGCCAGATAATGAACAGTGTGCCAGTGAAGACGCTAGGCTCCTAAAGAGGTAGAGTGTGAGATCTAACATCAATTGAAAAGGAGAACAAAACATTTCTTATAATGGTATAGAAATCTCTCCCTAACAAACACGTTTTAAACCGTGAGACTGATGACGGTACTCGGCCAAAACTAACAATATTTGCTAGTGGTGGTGGGTTTGGGCCGTTTAGTAAGATATGGTGATTGAGATGGATTCATGTTAGTTTATAATTAAATTTTTTTATTTTTATAAATAAATTATTTTTTAAAATTTACTTTTTTTTTAGGTAATTTTCCATTTTTATTAATTCTTCTCTATATTTTTGTAGGTTTTTTTAAAGTAATAAAATCAATTTATATTACCTAAATGTTGAGAATTTTATAAGTAAAAAAAATATAAATTAATGACTTTTAGATGATGAAATTTACATGATTTATAATTATTTAATTTTATTTTAGAAAATCAATTGAAAATATCCTTTTAATTATTTAGTTTTAACTATTTAAAATGGTTTATATCTTAAGCATTCATTTTAAACTTAAATCCATATTTTAGTCTAATTGTTTTTTTTTAATTATTTTAAAAAGAAAATTACCCTTATATAATATATATTACATTAATAACTAAAATCTGGAATATTAAAACATTTATAAGTCACAATGAATCACTACCATCAATGATGGACGTCAAATATTTTTAAACTCTAATTTCAGGATGATCAGATTCTATATGAACACCGCTAAGTACATTTATTGAAATTAATTAAGTAGAGCTTAGGATTGTATTAAGCTTATTAAATAGAATTAAAACTTAATTTGTAATATAATTATATATAAAAAAGAGAAGAGAATCCTTAGTTCTAATGGCTGCCATTCCTGAAACCCATACAAAAACCCATCTTCCCCTTCAAACCAGAACCTTCTTCTTCTTCTTCTTCTTCTTCTTCCTCAATCCCCAATTTCTTTAAATTCCCAACTTTCTCTCTCTAATTTCACTTCAATTTCAATTCAAATCCTTGTTTCTCTCTCTAAAACACTCCTTCAATGGCTTCCCCTGTTTTCCTCTTCCTCCTCTGTTTTCTCCTTCCTTCCCCTGTTTTCTCCTCACAGATTCTGCTCTTACCTCTCTCTAATTCCTTATCATCCTCATCCGATTTCAACAACACCCACAACCTCCTCAAATCCACCGCCGCACGCTCTTCCGCCCGCTTCCACCACCGCCGCCGTACCCACCACCGCAGCCACCTCTCTCTGCCCCTCTCCCCCGGCGGCGATTATACTCTCTCCTTCAACCTCGGTTCCGAGTCTCAAAAGATTTCCCTCTATATGGACACTGGAAGCGACCTTGTTTGGTTCCCCTGTTCCCCATTTGAATGTATTCTCTGTGAAGGCAAACCCAAAATTCAATCCCCTTTGCCCAAAATCTCAAATCAAAAATCAGTTTCCTGCAGCGCCGCCGCATGCTCCGCCGCCCACGGTGGCTCCCTCTCCGCCTCCCACCTCTGTGCAATTTCCCGATGTCCACTTGAATCCATTGAAGTTTCTGAGTGCTCTTCTTTTTCTTGTCCGCCGTTTTATTATGCTTATGGCGATGGGAGTTTAATTGGTCGGCTTTATAGAGATAGCCTCAGTTTGCCGGCGCCGGCACCGTCACCGGCGATCAATGTTCGGAATTTTACTTTTGGGTGTGCCCACTCAGCGTTAGGTGAGCCAATCGGTGTCGCCGGATTCGGCCGAGGGTTGTTGTCGATGCCGATTCAACTCGCCACTTTCTCTCCCCAACTCGGGAACCGGTTTTCTTATTGTTTGGTTTCTCACTCGTTTGCGGCGGACCGAGTTCGCCGCCCGAGTCCGCTGATTCTCGGCCGGTACTACGGCAGCGAGACGGAGTTTATTTACACTTCCATGCTTGAGAATCCAAAGCATCCTTATTTTTACTCGGTTGGGTTGGCCGGAATTTCAGTTGGGTCGGTGATGATTCCGGCGCCGGAGTTTTTGAAAAAGGTGGATGAGGGTGGCAGCGGCGGCGTTGTGGTGGATTCCGGTACTACTTTTACTATGTTGCCAGCAGGTTTGTATAACTCGGTGGTGGCCCAGTTTGAGAACCGGACCGGGCGAGTTGCGAGCCGGGCGAGTCAGATTGAAGAAAACACCGGATTGAGCCCTTGCTATTACTACGAGAAATCAGTGGAAGTGCCACGTGTCGTGTTACACTTCGTTGGGGAAAAATCCAGTGTGATGCTTCCTAGAAAAAATTATTTCTATGAGTTCTTGGACGGCGGAGATGGGGTGGGGAGAAAGATAAAAGTCGGGTGTTTAATGCTGATGAACGGTGGGGATGAGGCTGAACTGGCAGGTGGGCCCGGTGCCACGCTTGGGAACTACCAACAACAGGGTTTTGAGGTGGCATATGATTTGGAAAACAATCGGGTCGGGTTCGCCCGGCGGCAGTGTTCAACCCTTTGGGACAGCTTGAACCGCAGTTAAATTGAATTGTGGGCCCGGCCGAGGACTGGAGGTTGACTATTAATGCTTTGACTTTGGATTTCCATTAACAGTCAACTCTTTGGGGGAAGGGTAAATAAGGTATTTTCAGGCTTGATGGGGGCCTTTTTGTAAAATCCTACTTGCTTCACTATTATTTCCAGTCAAAATTTGTATATGAATGTGTTTAAAATATTTATTTTTTTCAAAAAAATATACTTTTTCCTTAATTTTTATCCATTACGAAGCAAGGAATGAAGTGATTGGTTGTATTAAGTTAAGAATATAAGTAATAAATTAAGAATATTCAGAAATAAAAGAAAATAAGAATTGTATAAATTCATAAATTAAAATTATTTGTAAACTTCATTATAAAAAATAAAAACTCAAAACCATAGAAATAATAAAATTATCTAAATCTATTTGCTCTTAAATGTTTCTTTTAAAAATCATTTTAGTTTGTAAATTTTCAAAATTTCCATTTTTATTTCCAAAACATTTAAATTATTTCTATTTTTTTTTCTTGCTTTCAAAATTTTCAATTTAATCCTCTAATTTGAAATAATTTTATATTCTTCTTTTAAAAAATATATTAATTTCAAACAAATTATTTAGGACATAATTTCCATTACCAATATAATTTTATATAAAAACTGTAATTAAAATAAAAAGAAAAAGAAAATGTGAGGAACCGGGTCAACTCGGAGAGCGAGTTGTTGGGATACAGCTGTACACGACTCGGCACGAATCTGGAGGAGACGTATTGAAGCGCAAACAGTATCCAAATAGGCCCATTTGTCTTGGCGTTTTTTGTGGGCCCACCATTTTTTTTTTCACGTGGGGACCACACATCTTCCAAGATTTTACCCTCCTCCATCTATTTTCATATTACCCAATACTTATTTCACCATTTAACAAAAATAAAATAAATAAAAATGTATTAAATGTTTAATAAAGTATAAAAGCTAAATAAAAAAACATATATGGTTAAAGTAACTTAGACTCAAGGTGTATTAAACTCGGGTTCGATCGACACCCAACACGAGACCTCAACCTACCTTTTGGTAATATAAAGTACAACCTAAGAAGCCTACAACTTCCTCTCCACCAATACAAGGTCTGCTTTTATTGACTCGTGGTATGAAAATCATTCACCTAGGGTTTTTTTACTTTCGTTTCGACTCAAGATGAGAGACGTCAAATCGGGTTCATCGAACTTATCTAATAAATACCATATCAACGTATAGATTTCATTATTTTGTAACGACTCTAGTTTTCAACTAATCTAGAATAATGACTATATGCATGATGTAACTTTTTATACAGAAACAAACGACTTCATAAAACAATGTCATAGACTTACATGTTTTAGAAAAGGCCTAAAACAGTATAAATATGAAATATTAAAATAAATAAAAATAGCAATACCCTCGTATCTACGAAATTAAATATAATTACTCTATGCAAGTTCCATGATAGTTACAACATTATTTTCTTTGACCAACAAATTAATTATTTAAGCACGTTTTAATTTTTAAAATTAATTTAAATAAGATTAAATTTGAAAGCGCCCGACTGCACATGTAATGTTGTATTAAATGCTAATATTGAAACAGATTTGAGCTTAACCTTCTAGTTAGGTAATCTATCAAATTTGTGTATGTTGTATTGATTTAGTTCATTGCATATTATATATATATATATATATATTTTTTTTTTTACAAAGCTTATAAATATTTTTGTTAATTTTTTAATAATAAGATAATAATAATAATATACGCGTTGTTAAGATGTGACATGGGACGTTGATTTGACATACTTTCAAATTGACTGAAAAACCAATGCATGCATGACATCTTCTCTATTGACGTGGCCATATCATTACCATCAAAGTGCTACATTTATTTTTTAATTATTTATTCATTATTATTTTTAATTTATTTTACCTAGTTTCTAAATTTTAAAATTATATAATTGATAAAAAAAAATAATGTTTATTAAATATAAATGAAATAATTTATATTGTAGGACCATGAGTATTAATTTTCGTTTTTAATAGAATGCAAATCTTAAAAAAAAATTCGAATAGCATTAATGACCTATTATATACCAAATTGAAAAATTAAAGAATTTTTAGATAATAAATTATTCGACTGTTTTTTAAGTTTTGATATTTAACAGACGTGAAATTAAAAATTTATAAACTTATGAGACAACGAAATAGATATAAACTTCAAATTTCGGTGTAAGGGTCTTCGGAAAAATTCGATCAATCCAACCGAACCCAACCCATCTCATACGATTTGGGTTGGATTATAAATGAGTTGAGCTCGGTTCAAATGAATGAAAATATATGCATCCAGTTGTTTCATGGGTCCTTAAAATTAGATTGAATTTACCGTTTCCAACCCAAATTTGTTGTTAATTTTGAAATATATATTTTTGTTTATTAAACAATTATATACCATATTTATTTTATTTTATTTCATAATTATTATTTATTGTGTGTGGTTGAGTTAGATTCATTATCTTACGAGGGTTATTTGAGTTGAACAATTTACAACCCGAACAATTAAGTTGGGTTTAAAAAATGTCTCAACGGAGCCGAAAAGAGGTCCAATATTGGGCCTAGAAGGAAGGAGGCCCACAAAGAAAAGAAGGCCCATTGGGCTGGTTCTGTTGCTTGGCGCTCAATATATTCCAAAAATTTATGCCAAGACAAGCATTTGATCCTCTCCTTTTAGCCACCTTTCACTCCTTAATATACTAATCATTTCTCACCAATCCATTCCATTTGAGATCTTCCAAAAAAGCTCTTCAAATCTGGATTCAATTGTGATCACATTCTTAACTCGAATCCGAATGTATATTACGAAAAACAAGTCTAAAGATATAGACGTGTTGAAAGGCAGCTGTGGCGGAGATGGAGAGGAAGAACTCCCGTCGAGTTCGAAAACGAAGAATGTGTACCTTCCCATTGAGACTTTCTGGTTGCCACCTTCGGCCGAGGCAACAGTGGATAAGCTAAAGGGCGGAGGCCTAGGCTCGAAACTGCTTCACCCGCTAGGGTTACGGAGATTGTCGAGAGGAAGCTTGAAGAGGGCAATGGAAGAGAAATATGATCCAAAGGACGAAGAAGCTGTTGATAAGTTAAGGGAAATGCTTTTTCTTGATGGCCAATTGCCCACCAAATTCAATGATTATCATACGCTTCTCAGGTGAGCTCTCGTCTCATTGTTCTAAATTTATTTGGGTTCGGTTAGTTTCAAATAAATGAAAATTTTATAGGTTGGGTTGGTTCCTGAGCTCCCTAAATTCATTAATATATATATAATTTTTTCAATTATTTATTTTCCGACCACTCTTAAAAATATATATTTTTTAAACATTTAATTAAATGCTTAAAAATAAATAAATAGATTTTATTTTAAGGAACTAACATTTTACTTTTTTTTTTTATTATTAAAAATAAAAATTTGAATAAATAATCCAACTAACGTGAACAAACCCAACCCAAAAAAATTATAGTTGAGTTAGTTTGGTCTAAAAAAAGGTCTCGGTCTATCTCACGAACACTCCTAATTTAGTAAATACTCGAGTAAACATGTAAATATATATTGGCAAAAAACCTAGCTATGTCTGTGTTATATAATTGTAAATAAAATTATAAAGATTATGACCAAAATGAGAACGGTTTTATAAATTAAACGATCAAGAACGAAAATATGAACGAGACTTTAATTTTAATTATTTGGCATTTTGAAAGATTATTGTTTTATAAGAATTTAGGAAATATTTAATATGGTTTTATTTTTATATGTTATTTAGATTCCTAAGGATGAGAGATTTTGATACGACAGCAGCAAAAGACATGTTTTTGAAATTCATCAAATGGCGTGAGGATTTTAGAACCGATGCAATTTCAAAGGTAATTCATAATTTTATGTGTTGTTTTGATATTTTTAATATTTTTCAAAAATACTTTTAAAAAAATACATTTTCTTTAAAAGTATTTTTACACGTAATTTTGTTTGATTTACTCGAGACTCAAAATACTAATACAAAGTTTAAAATTATATTTAAAACACTATGATTGGTGGCTGGTCGGGTGTGATTGATGGTTTTTGTTGAGTGGTGGCGGTCACCGACGATGGACGATAGCCGAAAATCGGTGATAGCCGTGGTGATTGATGTGAGTTGTGGTCGCTGATTGTAGCCATTGGTGAAAACGAATATTGAGAGATTAGGTGGGGTAATGTGAGGGTATTTTGGTCATTTTTATTTATTAGGAATTCACTAAAAAAAAATAACTTTTTTTTCCAAAAATTTATTTTTTTTTTTAAAAAAAATCATTTTGGGTGGTAGATAAATATAGTTAAAATGATTTTTTTCTCGTAAAAAGTCAACCGAAACACATCTAAGTCAAGTTTTGAAAATTAAGGTTGTTGTTCCATTGTGTTTCAAATGTTTCCTTAAAAAAAATAAAATTACCGTGAAATAAAATAGTGTTATAACTCGAGCATAAAAATTAAATTTTTGGTTATGTTTAGTTTTTGAAAATTGACTATTGCTAGATGAAAGTCTCACGTCTGCTAATTTAGAGAATGATCATAAGTCTACAATCAAGAAATACTCTCTCGGTTGAAATGAGGCATTTTGAGGAAAACTCAAAGCAAAGTCATGAGAGCTTATATTCAAAATGGACAATATCATACCATTGCGAAGAGTCTGTTCATCTTCTAACTGCTATAAATTCAAATATTTCTTTAAAAGAATGTAAAAAATTATGAAGAAACAGACCCAGAATCTTAATTTTTATAATTTCAATTGCTTAATTTAATAACGACTTTTATAAATGCATTGATTTCATCTTTGAATTAGATATCTATATGATTTAGAACGATTAATAAACTTTATGGTATGATGATCGAAAGAATCTTAATGGAAGAATTAATGTAGGGTTTTAAGTTTGAAGAGAAAGAAGAGGTGAAGAAATGGTACCCTCATGGGTTCCATGGAGTAGACAAATATGGAAGGCCAATATACATTGAAAGGCTTGGGATGGTTGATCTCAACAAATTGTTGCAAGTAACAACACTTGAGAGATTTGTGAAGTATCATGTTTATGAACAAGAGAAGACTTTGAGCATTAGATATCCTTCATGTTCTATTGAAGCCAAGAAGCACATTGCTTCTACTACAACCATTTTAGACGTCGGTGGTGCGGTAAGCAATATTCTTTATCCCTCTCGTTCGATCGATATATTTTCGATAAACGTTTCATTTGTAGCTTGCTTTGTGTAGGTTGAGATGCTCTGCACGATAGACAACATTGATGTATACGTGTGGGTGTGTTTTTATAGAAATGTATAGTAAAAATTAATAGGGGTCTTGTAACAGCCCAAGTCCACCGCTAACATATATTGTTTTCGGTGTGTCAGTGAAGATGTTGAGCCACCAAAAGGGGTGGATTCTCAGATCCCACATCAGTTGTAGAGAGGAACGAAGATTCTTTATAAGGGTGTAGAAACCTTTCCCTAATATACGCGTTTTAAACCCTTGAGAGAAAGCCGAAGAGGGAAAGTTCAAGGACGACAATATATGCTAGCTGGTGGGCTTGAGCTGTTACAAGTCTTGTTGAAATCATTTTTTAAGATCCAACATCGATTAGAGAGGATAACGAAACACTCTTTATAAAAGTGGAAATCTCTCACTAGCACGAGTTTTAAAAACCTACCGGGAAAACCCAAAAAAGACAATATTGGTTAGTGTTAGACGAACACGACTCTCCACAATGGTATGATATTGTCCACTTTGAGCATAAGCTCTCATGGCTTTGCTTTGGGCTTCCCAAAAGGCCTCATACCAATGGAGGTAGTATTCCTCACTTATAAACCCATGATCATTCCCTAAATTAGCCGATGTGGGACTTTCATCATCCAACACCTCCCCTCGAACAAAGCACGCCTCCCCTTAATCGAGGCTCGACTCCTTTGGAGTCTTAGTCATTTTTGACTGCCTTCGTACCTTCGAGGAGGCTTGACTCCTTTTGGAGTCCTTTGTTCGACATTTAAGGATTTGTCAATCTATTGGCACGACTAAGTTTAGGGCATGACTCTAATACCATGTTAGACGAACACGACTCTCCACAATGGTATGATATTGTCCACTTTGAGCATAAGCTCTCATGGCTTTGCTTTGGGCTTCCCAAAAGGCCTCATACCAATGGAGGTAGTATTCCTCACTTATAAACCCATGATCATTCCCTAAATTAGCCGATGTGGGACTTTCATCATCCAACACCTCCCCTCGAACAAAGCACGCCTCCCCTTAATCGAGGCTCGACTCCTTTGGAGTCTTAGTCATTTTTGACTGCCTTCGTACCTTCGAGGAGGCTTGACTCCTTTTGGAGTCCTTTGTTCGACATTTAAGGATTTGTCAATCTATTGGCACGACTAAGTTTAGGGCATGATTCTTATACCATGTTAGACGAACACGACTCTCCACAATGGTATGATATTGTCCACTTTGAGCATAAGCTCTCATGGCTTTGCTTTGGGCTTCCCAAAAGGCCTCATACCAATGGAGTTAGTATTCCTCACTTATAAACCCATGATCATTCCCTAAATTAGCCGATGTGGGACTTTCATCATCCAACAGTTAGCAGTGCTTGAGCGTTTCAATTTTTTACAAGTGGGTATATTTTACAAAATTTTACAAAAGATTAAATTATAAGTTTAGATATTTTTTTTTTTTCTTTAGGGGGTGTCTAACTTCTCTAAACCAGCAAGATATCTCTTTACAGAAATTCAGAAGATTGATAGTAATTACTATCCTGAGGTACGTTGAAGAACATGTATTATTAATCGGTTAGTCCTCGTGCTTTATTAATCTTAGTTTTATTCCCATTCCCATTCTCACCAATAGCAAAGTTCTAGATCCCGTTCATGATTTTCTTAACAAAATTTGTCTTAATAATTTAATTGAATTGATAGAACAATTTAAGCATAGTTCAACTAACTAGAACCATCTAACTATAAAATCAAATTAATATTTAAATTTGTTTTTTTGAATGGTTTGCAGACATTAAATCGAATGTTTATAGTGAATGCTGGGTCGGGGTTTAAGATATTATGGAAAGCATTGAGGGCATTTCTTGATGCTCGCACATTAGCTAAGATTCATGTTTGAAATTTCTTTTCTTTTTAATTACATAAATTAATTTATTCCTTTCTTTTATTATCTCGTCTCAAATCTATAAGGTTTTGTTTGTAATATCAGGTTTTGGGAAATAATTTTGTTCCCGAGCTACGTGAAATCATCGATCCAAGGTAACGTGTAATGTTTTGTGTTTTTCGTACTATGCTTTCATCGTTGTACTTTTAAATTTATTTATTTTGGTCATTGTACGAACAATTTTAGTCATACTCGTACTTCTAGATAAGGCTAAATTAATAAAAATACCCTTAAATTTTACATTTTGTCTAAAAAAAACATAATTTATGAAATGCAGAGACCGATAAAAATATTTTTGAATTTTTTTTTAATAATAGTTTAAAATTTCAGTATTTTTTTAAATATAATACTAATGGTAAACAAATTTTTTAATATTTTAAAAAAAGTTGAAAGGTATTTTTGAAATACTATTCAAAATTAAGAATACTCGATGATTATAATTTGATGTGGAGTAACGTGTGAATATTTTATATATAAATTTTATGACATTTTAGTTATTAATGTAATATGTATCATGAATAAGTACGATATTTAAATTAATTAATTAATTATATATATATATAAAACAACCCGAAAATCCTATCAAACCCAGCTTGAAAACAGAGAGTCAAGTTAAGTTGTGAACCCTACTTGAATGGTTCGGGGCATCAATTCAACTAATTCGAAGTTAGTTCGAAAGATTTTCCTAACCCAACTGAACCCAATCCAACCCGTGTATAAATTAAATTTGCAGTAATTTACCAAGTTTCCTGGGTGGAAATTGTTGTTGTCCTGAATATGGAGGCTGCCTTTCAAGTGATAGAGGTCCATGGAACAACCCTGCGATTCTAGCCATGGTTCAGGTCATTTTAACCCAAACAATTTTAATAATTTTAAAATCTTAATTATCTCAAAAAAAAAAAAAAAAAAACTATTTAATAAAATATTTATTTGATTTATTTTTAGCAGGTTCTCTCTTCAGCTGATGAAACTTATGATAATGAAAAAGAAAGTAGTTTGGCTTCACAAGATACTCGACTAGACTATAGAGTACGCAACTTCTTTTATTCTCGAGTTATATTAGTATCTAAATTTTCATGTTTTTGTTCGATAGATTTTCGAGTTTTTAAATTTGTCGTTAACATGTCTTTTGAACTTAAAAAAAAATCTAATAAGTTTATGAAATTTTAAGTTGGTGTATAATTAGGTCATTGAAGCTAGAAGATCGGGTCGAGTTGAAACATTTTAGACTGTCTCAACTCATCGAGTTTCAACTCTTATTAAATAATGAATAAAACCGAACTCACCCATACTTTTTTTTTTTTTTGGGTTGAGTTGGTTTGGGATTATTTATTTAAATTTTTGTTTTTAATGACAAAACATTTGGAAAAGTTATTTAATAATTGTATTTTTAAAAAAAAACCAATTAAAATTAGTTTTTAGAGAACAAATTTTTATTTATTTGAAGCTGATAATTAATATGGAGTCAATACCATCGGTTCAGCGTCCTATTACATTGTCGTTAAAACGCTTTGATATTATGATGTCTTAAAGTATATAAGAACCACACCATTTTAAAAATTGTTGTTAGGCTCGATTATAACGAACAAAATTTTCAACAGTAGAAACTCTAAAAATAACTCGATGTCGAGTGGTAAAAAGCTTAAGAGATCAAATATTTAATTTTATCGTGGGAGTAAGAATATTGTAAATTCGAGAATAATTTATTGATGAGATTATTTTGCAGAAAATACAAGCCTTGGAAGGAGCATTAGCAGAGACCAAAAAAGTGTGTTTTATGGTTTTAATTTTTTTTTTCTTAATAATTATTGTAGAGAAACAAATAATTAATTTTTTTTTTTTAAATTGCAGAAAATTGAGGCACTAGAAACCGCAATTGAAGATACCAAACTGGTGAGTTTTCTTATTTTAATTACACTCTTAAATTTTAAAATTTTAAATATATATATATATATATATATATATATTTTTCACAAATACATTTTTAACATTAAAAAATAAAATAAAAAATAGTACCACATTTGAAAAATACTCATAAATTTTTAGAAGTATCGTTAAAAATTATGAAAGTAATAAGTTGTGTATAGACATTTTTTTTTATCTTTATTGACGATAATTTTTTTTTGTTAATATTATTTTTAAAATATAATACTAACAATAAAATATTTTTTTAATTTTTTTTTTTAAGAGTTTAAAAGTATTAGTTCAACAGTATTTTTAAAAATTTTTAAATTTAGAGATATTATTAAATTTTTTAAAAATTTAAGAATTTGGGTACAAATAAATAAATAAATAAATATATATATATATATATATATATATATATATATATATATATATATATATATATATATATATATATATATATATATATATATATATATATATATTAATGAAATATAGTTGAGGTGGAGTTTGAATATTGGCCCTTAAAAAGGGATAAATTACGTAAACTATCCCTTAACTTTTGAATAAATTGATGCAATTAAACACTCGAGTTGCAAAATACATAGATCACGCCCGTAAATAAAATAATCATTATTTCAATTAAACCCTTAAACTATTGAATTATTACGATGTATATAATTTTTATTGTCGTTTTTTAGCATTAAGGTAATAATTCAATATTAATCTAAAAACGAAATCTGTTTTAATAGTAATCTTATTCAAATTTTATATTGTAAAAGGAAAATATATATATATATATATATAAATCAATTTATACCTATAAATTTTTACGATAATTGAACTAATTTTGTATTTAATAAGAGGGTTAGATAGGTAAAATTCTTATAATTTTAATGGGTTTTATGAGTTTAAAATAGTGATTAAGGTAATTTTTGTATTTTTTTTTTAATTACTAAACTATAGTTTTTTTTTTTTTAAATTTTATTTACAGATTTTGAAGGATCTTACACGACATATTGAAGACTTGAGAACTTGAGGAACAAAATCCAACAAAAATGCATGAATTTATTATTAAAAAAAAGAGCTTTATTTGGTTTCTAGTCCAAATCTAATGTTTTCCATTATTGTAGGAACAAATTAAAAAATATATTTAAAGTATAAAAATGAAATAATCATAATATATAAAATTTAAAATTTAAAGATTAAAAAGATAATTTTTCTTTAAAAAAATTAAATTATTAATTAAATTTAATTTAAATATTTACTACCTAAATTTTTTAAATATTTTAATGGATATTAGATATAAAATTAAATTTAATGTCTAATAAATTTATGTATTTAAAAAAAATTCAACACAAAATTAATATAATTTAACTAAAAATAAGTTAAATGTTATTAATTTTTTTTTTCAAAAAAAAAAAATCACTTTTATTAACTCTCGAAATTTTAATTTTCAGTATAACAGAAATTTAAAATTATTTAAAACTATTTTATTTTAATTATATGTCTTAATAATCTATTTAAAAATTTTAAAAGTAATTAAATAGTTAGATTTAATATTGAATTTTGCAAATAATATGAAGTTAAACTTATATATATATATATATATATATATATATATATATATATATATTTTTTTTTTTTTTTTTTTTGTCTTTTTAA